AACAATTTTTTTAATAAAATACGGTGTTCTGATTATTATGTTTTCTTTGAAATGGATATCGGTGAATATCCGGATATTCTAATTTCCAATATCCGAGATTTTTCAGAACTAAAGCAAATCGAAGAATTAGTTATTCGGCAAAGAAGAATCGAATCATAAATACTGTATTTTTTTGTTTGGATATTCACTTTGCGCTAGTGCTACAATTAAACAGTGGTGATAGATGAATTCTGAACGATTAAAGCAAAATCTTACTGTAGAAATAAAGAGTCAGGAACAGTTTCGAACCATATGATTTTTTTTTTGGTCATCTGAAATATTTATTAAACTTGGTATGAAACCGAAAAAATTACAAAGCCGGAACCAGAGGCTAAGCCGGTGGACAAACTTGAATTCCCCAGATACAAAGCCCATACAAGGGCATCAAAGGAACCATGGAATTCAAACCAAACTATCAAGGGTAGCACTTCACCGAAGCTGAGCAGAGCACCGCTCAGACTACTAAAATGGGAATTAACACAAGTTCAGCCACAAACAATACCCAAGGGCAAAGAAATGGTGGAAGGACCAAGACCAAATCAGACTACAAGAAAGACAAGCCAAAAGGCGCGAGTCTGACATGTCAAAAGTCCAAAAGACACACCACCGAAGCTGAGCAGAGAAGACACCATCGTAAGCAGACAAAGCATGAGCAAATTAAAAGGGACCAAAACAAAGGGAGTAATCAAGGAGAAACTCCTTCCAAGCGACGAATGCAACAGAGATTGAAGGCGCGATAGCATCCCAAATAGTCTAAACTGAGCCACGAGGCCGCTCCCTCTTCAAAAACCGTAAACAACAAAGCATGAAAAGAAGAATCTTCACCAAAGAAAGTACCCAAAGAGACCGGATAACACGAGCACAAAAGATCAAGAGTTGAAAGACGCTAAGAGGAGGCGTGTTCATGAGCGGAAAAGCCACAACATAGGACAAACCGACACCAATCAATCCACCAAAGCCCAACTCGTAGAAAACTAAACGACATTGCACATGAACCGAAACTTAAACCACTTTCTAACTAACCGAAGTACCAACACCAATCCCACAATCCCATAATTCACTGGAATAACTGAACCCATAAGGAAACTACACAAAAGAGCTGACGACAAGGAAATATGAACCATTAGACCAAACCTGAGAAGATTACAAGGACGATGGCCCGTCGCACAAAGAACCGGCACCAAATCTGAGATCCGATCAAACTTCGAAGACGAGGTCCGACCAGGACTGACGGCGAGAACGGAAGAATCCGAAGAGGCTTCACAAGACAGCTCAGACGAGGAAGGAGATCACAAGACCTCATTATGCAGCAACGAAAACATCGGAATGACAAATAGGAGCAACTCTTCCTCAAGCATCGAGCGAACCATAGACGAACCCCAAGCTCCGATCTACACCGAACCAAATCCCAAACGCAGAAGCCAAACCCTCCAAGAAGACCCACAGATATGTCGAATGGACCTTATAAGCCACATCGACGAAAACAAAAACTAAGCGACTAAATAAAGGGCTCCAACGTCGGCGCTAAAGTAGCCACCGAACGCCGGAGCCAGCCAAGCGGAAACGACGGAGGGATGCAAGCGGCGGCAGACGAGATCTCTATTTTCGAACCATATGTTTATTTAATACAATTTGTTTTCCTTTATATAATAGGGAAATTTGGTAAAACATGCCACATTGAATTAGATAATGTCTCAATATACCTTTGTCAACTTTTACCACTTTTTGTCTATACTACCCTTAATGAAAATATAAATAATTCAAAATAAAAGGTTTTTAAATTTTTTAAAAATCTGATAATTATAAACATGTCATGAATAGTAATTTGTATATAATTTTTTTATTTTTTAAGCTAAAAACCATGTTACAAAATGATTTTAGTTTTTCCATATACGGCTGCCACAATTCGGTAGACTTAGAATTCTACATATTTCACCTCTATCTACGAGCGTAGAATTTAGGTTCTGCGTCATGCTCTGCGTTCTACATTGTCGTAGAATATTAGTTCTACGACTTAGACTGACATCTACCAAACCTAGATAGTACATTCTACCGTTCTCAATATATTCTACCATGTCTAGAATTTAGTTTCTACCGCAACGCTACCACTTTGTCTACTATCTACCGATTCGTAGAATGTAGTTTCTGAAAAATTAGTTACAAGTTCTTTAAATCTAGGAGTGAATATTTTTGTTACCTAAAATGATTTTTTAAAAATATTTCTTTGTCAAACACGTTTTCACGTAATCTTCTTCATCTTCCTCGTGTTTCCTTCTTACAAAACACGTATTCTTGTTTGATTTCTTCATTTGTGGTTCCTTCGGATTTTGTCGCATATAATTTCTTCATTTTGCTAATATGAATAGGAATAAGTAGAAAAATTGAAGAACTAGGGTTTTGATATCATCAAAATCGCCCAAAGAGAAAGGAAGAAGAAGAAGTTTGACCCTTTATATGTTTTTGCACTTATTACCAAGAAGACCGGACGGAGATATAAATTATAGATTCGGTCTATTAGACCGGTCGTTGAAATCTTCGAGTTTGGTTCTAGTACGAGATGAAGATTGATTAAGAAGACCAGAGGGAGCGAAGTGGAGTTGTGACCGGTCAAAAAATCATTTGTTTACATAAATTAAAGTCAAAATTGGGATTAATTGAAACTAAATTTTAATGGGATATTCTTATAAACATAAAAGTGTATTGAGACACTTTCTATTTCAATATGTCATAATTTAGAAAATTTCTCTATTTAAAATTGGGAAAATTATGAAAATAGACCAAAAAACAATCAAAATTAAAAAAATAGACCATATTTTTCTAAATTAAAAAAATAGGATAATGTTAACTAGGTTAATTTCGATTGTTAAAAATTTCAACATATTGATGTAGTAGTAAAATTTCAACATATTTTAGATTTGCAAATATTGTTCTGTGAGATATTCTCGCAAGTTGTTTAAAAGGATTAGTTTCTTGCAAAACAACGATCTAATTTGATTCAAATTTAATATTATAATCTTGTTTTAAAACCAATCCAATTACATTATATACGGGAAACAAGTGTGTATCCAAGAGAATTAAAATCATTGAATCAATGAAAAAAATCAGAAGAATCACTTCAAAACACCCTTGGTTTGTTTTCACCAATCCCTAATCCTTTGTTTTTCAATTCGAACATTGAAACTCACTTGTGGTCCAAAAACAAAACACATGAACATAAGACAACATCAACCGATTAAGGACAATTTCTGAACATGTTAATCAAGCTCATTAATGCTAAGAACACAATTGAGCGTTGCAATTTTAATTGTTTTTTTCTAATTTTTTAATTAGAATTTATTTATCTATTATTAATTATTAAAAGAGGTCTATTTTTTTAATTTAAAAAAATGTGGTCTATTTTTTTAATTTTGATTGTTTTTTGGCCTATTTTTATAATTCTCGCTTTAAAATTTGTTGACAAATCAGTCGTAAAGGGATCGTAAAGAGAGTGTGAAAGAAAGAAGAAAAAAAAAGTTTGCAATTAATTTATTTTTTTTTTTTGGTCGGGAGCAATTAATTTATTTATTGTGAGGTCTAAATTGATGATGTTAGGCGTCTCTGCCTGCACAACCAGAAAAACGGAGGAGATAAAGTTGCCGCGTCCTTCTCCTCTTCTCAAATCCCAACTCTTTCTCCTCCTTCGCCGGAAAACCCTGACAATATTCGTCGGAATTCAATTACTCGTCGGAGCTTTTCTTCATCTCCGGCAGCCGGTAAATCTCGCCCTCTCC